GGAGACCAAATACATTGTGGAATTTCATCAAGCTCTTGTTTCAGATTTTTCAGGGTTGCCTATGAATAACATTTTAGTACGTTAATATAAAGCTAAGATATAATGAGAATAAAGTTAGAAGGTAAGTAAAGTGTTAAAATACCCAGGTTAGGGCTATAGCTTAGTGACAGAGCACTTGCCTGGCATGTACAAGGCCTTCCACCCAATCCCCCAGCATGACAAAAAAGAAAGAAAGAAACAACAACAACAACAAAACCCAACTGAACAAAACACAAGGAATAGGTTTTTAGTTTCTAGAAAACTGATTAAAGCAACCTCTTCCCTTAATTACTTTGAGGAAGAGAATGAGTTTGCATCAGCAGAGGCATTCCCTATACCTCTCTAACATTTAAAGTGAAGTGCCTGCACAGAAGTGGCAAAGGGCTTAGAATGCATCTTCCAAAAAGCGAAAAGTATGTTCAACACTCCTTTTAGGATTCCACATGCTAGGAGTTGTGCCTGTGTCCTGTGTGGAGCACAGTGAAGCAACATCTGTCCAAAGACAGGGGAATGTTTTCTACCTCTTTTATAATTGCATGCCGTCTGTGTTCATGTATATTTACATAAGCCTGCTTTCCCTACAGGGAGGAAAAAGTCAGACTCATTGACGTTGTTTTTGACCCTCAAACTGAACTTGATACTATCAATGTACACTTTAATTAAAGATTAGGTCAAAACTTTTTTATTTAAAGGCTGATTCTGAACAAATGCTTTCACTGTTCAATTAAAAATAATATATGGTATTAAACTAACAAAAAAGGGTACACATTATAGCCTCTTTCTCTGTTTGTCACAGTAAATACTTCTGACAGATGTTTCCTCTCAAACATACTAGGAGGTGCTTGAGCCTTAGTAATTTAAAAATAGACATTAAATATACTCATATATTATATTTAAGATTCATTGAGAATACTGTACAGCACTGTATAATGAAAAAAGAAAATTGTTTCTTGATTACTTAACTATCTCTCAAGCCCAAGCAATCTCAATAGTTAATCAGTCTTTTTTTGTGTCAAAATAAGTTTCTAGCTCGGTTTGGAACTCTCTTGATTAGATACCATTAAGAAATATCAATCCTTGGGACCTATAATTCACAGGTTTCTTTGAATTAAAAAGTTAACTTGAGTAGTTTCTCTAAATTAAAAAGTTAGGTTTCTTTGAATTAGGTTTCTTTGATTTAAAAGGTGAACTGCAGTTGAGGCTCAGTGGTAGAGCACGTGCCTAGCACACATGAGACACTGGGTTCAATCCTCAGCACCACACAGAAAAATAAATAAATAAATAGTTATCCAAATTTTTTTTAAAAAGGTTAACTATAATAGTTAAAATAACTTGCCTTTGCCAATGTTATGTTTGAACAGTTGTAAAAACAATTCAGTGTGCTTTCAAAAAGAATTTGTAAAACTTAGTTAATATTTATAGTCAAAAAACTCTAGAATGTTCTTATATAAAACTCACTTGCAAAGTTCAAAATGCCTTTAATTTTACTTTGTTAAATTGTTAAACCTAACCTCAGGCTATTTAATTTTATATACAAATAAGGTTAACATTTGGGGCTGGGGCTGGGGCTCAGTGGTAGAGTACTCACCTGGCACGTGTGAGTCACTGGGTTCCATCCTCAGCACCACATAAAAATAAAATAAAGGTATTGTGTCCACCTACAACTAAAAAAATAAGGTTAACATTTTGATTTTCAGTTCTCAAAAACTCTTTCAAAATTAGGATACCTACTTCCCTCCAAAAAAAGCAATAGTGGTAAGAAACAATTTTTTTTAAAAAAATTTGAACAAACTAAATTAGTTTTTGTGACTTTTAGTCTCAATTCTGTCAATGGCATACTATGTGAACAGGAGTGTATGAGACCTAATTAAAAAGAATTGTATTAGCTATTTTCCATTTTAACATGCCTGTATTTTGAAAGCTGAATCTTAATTATCCAAACAAATTTTTAAACACTGGAGCCCTTTGAGAAAGGAATACAATCAACCCCATTTTACAGATGAGAAAATGGGACTTAAAGAAGCACATTCAAAGGAATCTAGATCACTGACTCTCAAATAGCTAAGCTCTGAGCTTCTCCATTAAGGGGTCTTACACATGTTCTCAGGGACAGATAGGCACAGTAAATAAGAAAAGCAGTTGAGGAGGTGACTAAGATGAATTGTAGAGCACATGTCCAACAAAGACAGTTACAGCTATTCAGCTCTAGAACAGTATAGGCAGGCAGACATGGCCGAACTTGAGAAATCAGACTAGCTAGCTGGCAAACAAAATATCGAGGTTGTGAGATCATCTGATTTCAAAATATTGGCTTAATTTTAAAAATTCATTTATTTATATGTGGTGCTGAGGAACCTAGTGCCAGGCAAGCGCTGTACCACTGAGCCACAACCCCAGTCCCTAACTCAATTTTTTTCTTAAAAATTTATGTACTAGAAAAAAAAAACTAGTAGTACTGGCTAAGAAAGGAATTCTCATTTACTACTGATGGGAATGCAAAAATAAGATGGTCACTTTGTATAACAATTTGATGAAGTTCCACCTCTAGGTATTTTCCCAAGTGAAATAAAAAATTATACTTAAAAAACCTGTACCTTAATGTTTATAATGGTTTATTTGTAATCAAACTGAAAACATCCAAACGGTGTCTCAGCTGAGGAATGGATAAACAATCTGTGATACATCTTTACAATAGAATACCACTCAGCAATGAAAAGGAATGAACGATTGATATATTCAAAACCATGGATGGGTCTCAAAAGCATAATGCTAAGTGAAAGAAGCTAGACTCAAAAGGCTCCAATACTGTATGCTTCTATTTGTTTTATGGCAAAGGCAAAAATCATAGAGACAGAAAACAGATCAATAGTTTCCAGGAACTGAGGGTTGGTAAAGGATTGACTTTATATATAGAGTCAGGGAATTTGAAGGAAGGATGATAAAAATGTTCTGCATCTTTATTGTGGTGGTGATGATAAGACTGCATATGTTTATCAAAACTTGAACTATACACTCAAACAGATAAATTGAACAAACTATGAGGGAAATAGCTGAAAGGCAAAGGAAAGTACCATTAATGTAATTGTTCTATATACATGTAAAATATTTATATCTTGTGTTTTACATAAATGTTTTATAAAACCTTTTTATTCACTGATGTGTAATATTTGCATTATAAAGGTAATCTTATCAAGTTAACAGTGCAACTTGACATATTTAGGAAAAAAAGACAATTCTAAGACCTATACTACAATCAGAGAAATAAAAATCTGTAGTACTCTTTTTGGAAGACTATACAATTAAGAACTGCAAGGAAAGATACTCTATGAAAATAGGAATTGGATTGGAATCAAATTATTTAAATTATGTATTTTATTGAAATAATAGATGCAAAAAACATTTGGCATATTTATAAAATATTCTATAAATACTAAATAGAAGAGCACAGTGAGGGCTGGGCCTGGGGCTCAGCAGTAGCACACTCATCTCACATGTGTGAGGCCCTGGGTTGGATCCTCAGCACCACATAAATAAAATAAAGGTATTGTGTCCACCTACACATCAATCTGCTTGGTTTGGACTGTGTTTCAACCACTTTCTAGCTATGTGGCCTTGGACAAGTTACCTAAACCTGCTGACCTTCTATTTTCCCAATTGGAAAAAGGGAAATTTTGTAAAGACTAAATGAGAAAATACCTCTAAAGCACTTAGCACATATAGTGCTAGATACGAGGCACCTCTTACTAATTATGTAATAAAAGAAATTCCAGGCTTCTCATAATTTGAATTTAATTAAAAATATGGGTTTCCTGGGGCTGGGGCTGGGACTCAGTGGTAGAGCACTTGCCTAGCATGCTGAGGCACTGGGTTTGATCCTCAGCACCACATAAAATTAAATAAAATAAAGGCAAGCTATCTGTCTACAACTACAAAAAAAAATTTTCTTCAAAAAATATATGGGTTTCCTTCAGAAATTAGAAATACTTAGATTCATCCAAGAGGCTGATTAGAATGACAGAAGTTTGAATAAGCAAGTTGGTCTTGTTATCATCAGTCCTTTCTTTCTCCACCTGTTGAGCAACATAGCCATGTCACTGCCTAGCCATGTTGGCAGTGAAGAGCCTTGTCCTTCCTCCACATCATCATACATAAGCAGGCGATACTAACAGGCTGGGCCAAGAGTGCAAAATTTAAGGAGCTCCAGGCACCTCACTTGCCTCCCCTTAGCCTGGGTCAACCTTCCCTCCAATATTCTAATTTCCATAACTCTCCCTACTCAGATTTTTCACATTTTTCCAAAGCAGGAAAATATGTGTTTCTGCTTCATTTTAAACTCTCCTTGAAAAGATTAAAACTTTGGTGACTAATTATTAGCCTCTACTATCATTGTATCCTGGATTCTGTTTGTGGGTTTTTAAAAAATACTTTTAAACTAAACACTTTTTTTTTCTCTTTATACATACAGGAATCTCTCTTTGAAGGAATCTGAAACCTTGCTAACAAAAAAATGATGTGCATGAATCTCATCTTCTCTATAATCCAAAAGTAAAAGAAAATTTGCTGAAAACAAGTAAATTCAGCTTCAAATGATCTTATTTTTTTAACTTCATAAAACTTGGCAACATTTTTTGAGTTTTTAGCTTTAAGGTATCTTAGTATATAAGAGTTCTTTAATTTCTTGCTTGATTTGCTTCTTTATAGAATCTCAAATTTTGCTTTCCACGAGTGAGAGTTCAAAGATCTATTTGCCTTATTACTCATTACATACAATTTACTGGGGAAATAAAGATGAGCTTTCCTATTCAATAGAGGGCCTTTTTGAATCAATGGAATTTGGGTGTGCCTCTTTCTAAAGTGTGAATCTAATTACAGTTATTGAATGAGAACAAATTTTAGAAATCCAAAGATCCTTCTGATTTACAAATATACTTAATGTTTGGACTGGTACATCCGAATATAACAAATACCACCATTACTATCTACAGCTTGGTAATTTCACTTTGGAAAGTTAGAAAGCTACTGGAAAGCATACAAAAACATATTATATACAAGAGCAGTTTCTTTGATGACACTTTAAATTTGATATTATTTAGTTACCCCCAAAGAAAAGAATGTTCCAATTGTAGACATTGTTTCTAATATGTCCTAATTACGTTGCTAGAAAGTATTGTGTGTCCACTCAGACTTCACCCGGGAAAACAACGGGTGCAGGACGCACGGCAGCTTTATGGTATCTCATAGTATATAAGAGTTCTTTAATTTCATGTTTGATTTGCTTCAAGGAAATCGGAGGGTTGGGAGAGTCAGAGCGGAATGCTCTGTCGGAATCGGCTTGGGTCCAGCGCCGGTTTATAAAGGAGCTTTGGATCGGGGTTTCTCCTTGCACTGCTGCAAACCACACTCTGTTTGGGGGCACAGGTGCAAAGCCAGTAAAGAATTGTATGTCTGAGAAATTAAAATAAAAAAGCTGTTGTCCCGAGGGATGACAGAATCGCAGGCTAGGGTCTGCATGCCTGGGGAGAGTTCCTAAAACATAACAACGGGAACATTCGAGGTCTTATGCAAGGTGCAGTTTTGTCTCACAGCGCCTACTTAACCTGGTCACGGAGTACTGAAGTGGGGGGACTACTACTATGCGTAATGAAGACAGCATGAAATATTTACCTTGTGGTAGGATAAAAAAAAAAAAAGCTAATGCATAGACGTGGCACACTCGACATTTCTCACAGAAAGTTGTCTCGTGCAACCAAACGGCGTTCCCTGCGCGGGCCTGGAAAGGGGCCTGGAATCCGACTGGGGCCAGGTGGAAGGACAGCGGCGAGGTTAGACCCTTTCCCACCCTAGGAACACCCCCAGCGCTGGACGCTGCAGCCCCCGCGCCCCGCCTCTGGGAAAGCAGGGCGCAGCTCAGGAGCTGAGTGGCGGACGCCCCACCCCCTGGCCCGCCCTGCCGGGCGGTTTGATTAATGAGTCTCCCTCCGCCAAGGTTCCTCGAGGCGTCAGCCCTTAGAGTTACCCCCGCATGGGCGCAGGCCTCCGCCCGACGTGGTGTCGCGGTGGAGGTACTACTCATGGCCTCGGGGATCCCTACATAAAAGGCGTGACCAGAAGAAGCTGAAAGCAGCCTTTGGCTTTGGCTGGACAACGATGGAGTAATCCACGCGGCCCTGTCTACGCAGACCCGGCTTGACGTCCCCGTCCCCTTGCACAGCAGATCCAAGACCCGCGCAAGGCGGCTCCAGGAAAGGTGAGGTTTCCGGTCCCTCTAGCTCCGCACCTTTCGCAACTTTATAGCGGTGGCCGGTGCCTTAGTCCAGGGTGAGGCCAGGGGTCCCCGTTTCTCAGGCGGAAATTTCCCAAGGGCGCAAATGACCCGAGGGCGGCCGGTGTGCCACCTCGCGTGGTTTCTCGCCTAGCGGGCGAAAATGATTCGCAACACTTCCCGGGGCTGGCCGAATCACTGCTGGAGCACTAAGTGCCGAAACGGAGCTGTGCTTCCCAGATCTTCCTTCCCTGGTAGAGTTGCCCTTGAGCTTAATTTGTCCTGGAAAAAGCAAAGCCCACACCAAAAAGGCAAAACCCCTCTTCGTACTTTTACGAAGCTCAGAAACTTTGAGGTTCCACCGTTCTGCCCAGGCGCTGGAAGGCAGAACATACCACTTCCAAAGAGCTCACCTCTGAGAAATCCTTAACCACGTCGAGCGGCCGGGCGGGCGCGCGGCGTCAGCTAGAGGGTTGCACCCCTCAGGTTAAACCCAACCGCGCCCGGTCCTCACTGCGCTTTCGGTCCTTTGCAGCGCGCGCTAGGCACAGGAATCCACCATGGACCGCGGCCGCTCGGTGAACAGCCCAGAGAGCGCCAGTGCTGAGCCGATGCCTCCGGCCACTGTCACCCACGACACAAGCCCAGGGCGGATTGGGATCGGAGCGCGCTCTGGAGGCGGCCGGCCGGCCGCGGCGAACGCAGCGCGGGAGCGCAGTCGCGTGCAAACCCTGAGGCACGCCTTCCTGGAGCTCCAGCGCACGCTGCCGTCGGTACCACCTGACACAAAGCTGTCCAAGCTGGACGTGCTGCTGCTGGCCACCACTTACATCGCGCACCTTACCCGAAGTCTGCAGGACGATGCCGAGGCTGCGGCAGATCCAGGTCTGGGAGCTTTGAGTGGCGATGGCTACCTGCACCCAGTCAAGGTAGGCGGGAGGGCACACTGCGGGGCTGGGACTGGGAGGGGGATACCTTGAATCTGCCTTTTCACCGCCTGGGCAGATGCCACCGAGCTCTAGTTCCTCCTCGTGGGTGAGGAGACATCGGCCCGAAAGGGCACCGACATCAAGAACCCACTGCAAGAAGCTGCTGAATGAGTTCCGTGGCTTAAGACTGGAGTCTGTCATGCCCTTTTATAGGTTGGCAGTTTAAGGATTTTTGCACTTTTCAGGGTGAGAAAGTTTGGGTTATTTTAATTTCATTGTATTTTTGATGGGAAATTTGAAAGATATCACGAATGAAGTGGAGTTATACAATTAATTATCTTTCTTTAAGTAATCCTAGGAAAACGTTTGAAATTGTTCGGTAACACCAAGAAAAAATGAGACGGTTCTATATCTCCATGAAACAAATTTTCAGTCTGTTTAAATAAAGGTCAAAACCATAGACTAGACAGCTAGTAAGAATGTTAGAAAAGTATAATGTTTTATGTAATTTTCATGATAGATTGGCATGTACATTGAGCGAATTGAATAAATATTATATTCAAAGTTTGTAATGTACAAAACTAGCCAAGACAATCCATTTTGCATAATTTGTTTACATATAGGTAGAATGATCACAGATGTCATTTAATATGATATATAGGACTAAAATTCATAATTTATATTGCATAATCTGTATCATCCATTTCCCTTAGATTTGTTTTGAAACCTTTCATTAATTCAACTTCCTACTCGAAATGCATAATCCTTTTCTATATTTGCTAACCCTAAATTTTCAAATTTTTGTTTCTTCCATTCTGAAGTATTTTATAACATACACACGCAAATATAAAATTAGGACTTAGGTTTAAGTATGTCATTGTTCAATAAATTAGTGAATAATCATTATTGAAATATGGTAAGGGCTGGGGCTGTAGTTCAGTAGTAGAGTGCTTGCATGGCAGGTGTGAGCACTGAGTTTAATCCTCAGCATCACATAAAAGTAAATAAAATAAAGGAATGCCGCCCATCTACAACTACAAAATTAAAAAAAAAAATTTTAAATATGGTAAAGCGGGCTGGGTTGTAGCTCAGTGGTAGAGCGCTTGACCAGCACTTGTGAGACACTGGGTTCCATCCTAAGCACCACATAAAAATAAAATAAAGATATTGTGTCCAACTACAACTAAAAAATATTTTAAAAATATATATGTATAAAATATCATTATTTATAATTAGGATAGACCCCCCCCCATCCCATTCCTGAGTTTTATAACATGATCTCTGTTAAAGTCATTCATTCTGATTAAGGGGATTTATATTACTTTGTGTATTAGATTGCTATTCATATATACCACTAATGTAGATTTCTTTTGACTTGACATTTGCTGTTTACTCTAAAATTAACATTAAGTATATTCTAACATAAAGTATATGTTAAATTTCTCCTTTGTGGGAGCTATGATTCAGAATGAGAAATCAAGTTTTTCACCTTAGTTTTACGGAGTGAGTTTTTTTAATGAATAATGTTAGAAGCATTAATGTTAGATTGTAACAGTAAGCATAACAAACTTTTTTATACTTAATTCATGTATCAAATATTTTTGTAGTCATATAACTGTTTTATGAAATTAAATCTCATTTGTTCTCTGAATTATTTTGACCGTTAATAGACAATTCTAAACATTATGATAGAAGATCAAATATTCTCTCTTAGAAGTGAAATTGAGGGCTGGGGTTGTAGCTCATTGGTAGAGTGCTCACCTTCCATGTGGAAGGCACTGGGTTTGATCCTCAGTACCACATAAAAATAAAATAATGGTATTGTGTCTATCTACAACTAAAAAAATATTTTTTAAAGTGAAATTGATGTGTAACAAGTAACAATATATTTTAAAATCAAACATTTGAGTTTCTGCTATGAGTAAAGTAGTGTTTTGGGGATAGTAAATACCATTATGAGTAAGACTCAGTCCTTGACCTAATTGAACATATTATAGAAATGAAAATAAAAATGCAAATAACAGTATAATGCTGTTAGGGAAAATGTTATAACCATGTGCTGAGGAGGTTCAAAGATTTTATATATGCAATTGAAACCATCTGTTATTTTACAAAAGTACCAAAATGTTTAAATAAGAAGTCTATCTTTACCGTGAAAGGAATAAAAATATTATGATCTTTTTTAATTAACTAAAGATTCATTGTAAACTATTATAGGCCTTAGTAGGTATTCGAAAATGATTTTATGTTTCTACCTTAGAAGAAAATGATTTTATGTTTCTACCTTAGAATAGTGTTACTAAGTTCTACTCTGATAACAAAAGATCTTTTAACAAATACTTCGATGCTGTGATTTTGAAACATCAATCCTTATTACCAATATTATTAGCATGAAAGAGCTGTTGGGGACCTACATGAAAATATCTGAAACGAGGGATCAGAGGTATAGCTCAGTGGTAGAGCTCATACTTATCATTCTTACCATCTCCAGTAGGCAAAAAACAAAACAAAAACTCAAATGAAACTGGAGTTTTAAGAAAGTAGGCTTAAGTTCCTGGGGCCTATGCCCCTATTTATCTTTTTGTACCATAAGCATTTTGGATCAGTAACAATTTGGCCCAAAGAGCAGTAGTTTTCCAGGAGAACAGGAATGTATTTTTAGACCTTTACTTTGGGAGAAAAGCACAGATGACTTTATTAATTGCCATACCCCTTGAGAATCATTGTCCATAAGAAAATAGAGTTCACAGGGGCTGAGGTTGTGGCTCAGTGGTAGAGCACTCGCCTAGCACGTGCGAGGCTCTGGGTTCGATCCTCAGCACCACATAAAAATGAATAAATAAAATAAAGGTATATGTCAACTACAACTAAAAAATAAGTATTAAAAAAAAGAAAGTAGAGTTCAGGATTATGTTACTCTATGTGGTGCGAGAATAAATTATTGAAAATGTAATATAAGTCAGTCAGCTGGCTTTTTTGGCATCTTGTTGACATGTAACCCAACTAATGTTTACATTTTAATTTCTGACTCTTTAAATCTATTTCTGTGTCCAGGCACACCTGTAATGCCAGTGGCTCAGGAGGCTGAGGCAGGAGGATCACAAGTTCAAGGCCAGTCTCAGTAACTAAGCGGGGCCCTAAGCAACTTAGTGAGACCCTGTCTCAACACAAAAATATGAAAAATAGGCTGAGGATGTTGGCTCAGTGGTTAAGTACCCCTGAATTCAATCCCCATTACCTACTCCACAAAAGAACTATTTCTCAGCCTATATTAAGTTGAATAAGATCTTTATTTACAAACTTTGAAAATCAAGGACACAAAATTCTTAAATTTGAAAACTTTATTATGTAATAAATACATAGAAATGAGGCAAAAATCCACATACACATTTTATGTTTGCTTCATTCATTACTTACATCCCAGAAAGGATATAAGGAATAGACTCTTTGATTGATTCTATGCTTAGTTGAATGATTTAGAGCAACTCTAACATAGTGGACACTGGGTAGCACCTGAGAACCAGAGGGGAGCATTCAGTAATATTTCTGTCTTTTTTGATCTTTTGTATTTAATTCACATAATTCTCAAATTACATTTGAAACATGAGCATGAATTTTTTATTCTTATGAAAATCAAACAGGGGTCTGGTACATAATATTGCCAAAAATCCTGTACTTGAAATTGATGATTTCTGCCCTACCTTATTCATTACATGTATTAGTCTGCCCAGGTGACCATAACAAAATACAACAGACTGGATGTCCTAAACAACAGAAATTTATATTCTCAAAGTCTGAAGGCTTACAAGTCCAGATCAAGGTGTGGCAGGGGTCAGTTCCTGTTGAGGGTGCTCCTCCTGGCTTGCAGATGGCCCACTTTTCTCTGTGTTGTCACATGGCCTCTCCTTGCTAATGTATGCACACCAAAGAAAGGAGGTCATGGACAAACACAGACACACAGAACAGACTTTTTCTTCAAAGGCCACTAGTCCTTTATGATCTAAACTAACTCTGATTACCTTCCAGTTAATCACCTTGGAGTTTAAGGCTTCAAGTTATGATTTTTGTCCCTAACACCAAGCACTGGGGTCTTAAGCATAATGTCGGACTTAAATCTGATCTAACAAGGCCAAACCTTGACATATCAGATGAGCCTCAGGCCATTTCATAAAACAATTTGGTTTGGCAGTCTGGCAGGAATCCTAAGGACAGGACTAGTGACAATGATGCACCCAGAATATATATGAATGTACTTGTGTGATTTTTTAAAAAAAATATGAAATGAATTTGGAAAAATAAGTATCACAATGTCAATCTTATTTCTGTATCAAACATACCACACAAGGTTATTTTTAGGAAGACTAAGTAGGGGTAGACTCTTTTAAATTCCAAGTCATACAAATTTTAAATATTATTTGTATTTAAAATCTAGATTGCTCAGATGGATGTGGTGGTACATACCTGTAATCTGAATTATTCTGGAGTTTCATGGGTTCAAGGCTGGCCTGGGCAACAGTGAGACTGAGCTACAAGGAACAAATTCATCTGGAGACATTAATATAGATGTTTGTTGGATGCCACAGAACAACAGAATGGAGCTTTCCAGATAATATCACATGCCCAGTTATTTTTCTTTTATTTTTATTAAAATTTTAAAAGTGAAACGTAAAAATCATATATATATGTATATATATTATGTGTATATGTGTGTGTGTGTGTGTGTGTGTGTATATATATATATATATGTTTAAGTCAGGGCAAGCATATCTCTTCAAACATTTGTCATTTTTTTATTCAGTGAAAACATTCAGGAATTCTTTCTTCTGGCTCTTTTGAAATATAAAACACATTACCTGTAGCCATCCTGCTGTGCGGTAAAACACCAGAACTTAGAAATTTGGAATGCTTCACAAATTTGCATGTCTCCTTGCTCAGGGGCTACTTTAAGTTTTTATCATTCCTGTTTTACTATATTTAGAATGTAATTGGGTTCTCAATCTATATTTAGAATGTAATTGGGTTCTCAATCTTTAGAGCTAAGTTTTGCATGTGATTTTTTTTTTTTGGACTTAGTTTATAAATCTGAGGATAGACAGATTTTTCTGTACTTAACTATATATTCACTCTTTTCTTGTACACATATGCACATAGTTTTACGGTTATAGTCAAAGTCTGGATATATTCTTACTTGCATTGTTAACATTAATAAACATTTCTCTCATATTCTATTAGACTTCATAATTATAATTGTTACTGGCTGTATAATATTGCATTTGCTCTGGGGTATTTGGAATTTTTAATACTGCAAATACGTTATATATGTCCCAGATACTAACTTTTGGAATCTTATTTAAATATTCTCTTTTCAGAAATGGCCCATGCGATCAAGATTATACATTGGTGCTACTGGTCAGTTTCTGAAGCATTCGGTCCCTGGAGAAAAAGCAAATCATAGCAACACTCCAACAGACTCACAGCCGTAGGGACTCTCATGGTGGTAGCTGGTAGAAGTGGTGTCTATTGTTTTTAAATACTATGAAAGAATTATAATTTATTACATCAAACATAAAAAACATCATTTCTGAAAGTTTACATTGGAGCCCATAGTTTGATGTCCAGATTTATCTGTCTAAAGGTAGAATGAGGTAATCAATCTTATATAAAACATACTGCTTATCTATTCATTGTGAGAGTGATGGCTATATAGTACAAGAGAAACTATTAGGAAAATACACACAAAAAGAAACAATTATGTATATATCCAAAGAAGGCACACATTTTCTGTAGTATATCTATTGTAAATGTAAAAGCCAATATCTATCAGTATAGTCTTTGTAGCTTAAAAAAAAATCTGTGTTTGTGATATGTCAGTATTCTATCTTTGTGAAGACCAAGAATGCATTTCAACTCTCAGATTCAAGACCATTTATTTAGTTTGGCTTTATATATGTGTAAAGTCTGTTGCAGTAGCTTCTATCACTAGTGATTTTCCCTGTTAGAAGATTTGTTTGGAGTATCAGAAATAATTTGCTCTATAGGAAATGCCCACCTTTCAAAAGGGTTAGTCAGTATTTGGACATGACTTACATGTTTCCAGATTGTGAAAGGCACTAGGAATACAGGCAGCCAGTATGAAAAACAGTCCAGGTGTCACTGGGCAGCAGCTATCGTCACACTTTCTCCTGGTCACACCATATCACTGCTTCTTTCAGGTTCTGAGCTAGGTGAGCAAGTTCAGCTGTAGCCATTTTGGAGACAGTGGCCTTTTCAGGCCTTGTAGAGCCATCAGTGAATCCCCCTGACCTTCCTCAGCCAGTGGTGGAGTCAGGTCCCTTCTCCCATCCAAGTACTAGCTGGGCTCTACCCTGCTTAGCTCCAGAGATCAGAAGAGATCAGGCTGTTCAGGGTGGTATGGCCATAGATGTCAGATCCCTTCTCACATCAGCTCTTCATAATCTACCTTCATAATCATAATTTGGCCATTACAAAATGGGGAAAATCCTGTCTGATTTGGGAATTCTGGCACTGATGTGTATCTTAGGGGGATCTAAGGATACAGTGAGTGTCCTGAGTTAAATTCAGGCTGGAGCAGACCCCTCCTGAATCTGCCCTAATATGAACCTGTAGCAGTAGGCCTCCTGCTGCACTGTACATCCTGAAGTGCTCAGAGAACAATGGATCTGACTGATCCCACTAGTGGCTTTAGTTTGCAATAGGAACCTCCTGAAATTTGTGTTAAATAAAGGAGCTTTGCCTCTGACAACGTTGTTTTTTCTTCTTGTCCAGTTATTGTTTTAATGCCAAAGAAGTGTCATTTTGGTCATAGATTTTTATAACATTTTATTAAGTCTTTAAATATGCTAATATTTAAAATATTTTAGTAAGTGGGAAATTCTCAGAAGGGAAGCTGCATGTGGTCTGAGCCATGAGTAGAGATGTTTGTCAGGGAACACACTGAGCTTGGAACAATGGAGTATAGCAGAAACACTGGGAAAGAATCAACATTGGTCCTCTCTTTGCTGACTTAGATTCCCTTTTATCACTTCTTGATTTTCTCCTCAGTCTTTACTCTTCCCTTTTCCAACTGTGAAATTCATAATACATTTCTCATAACCTAGTTTTAAACTTGCTGAATTTGATCCAAAGTTATCAAACAGATAGCAAAAATAATGAACTTGGTTGAATTACTATAACACTCGTCCCACCATTTTATTTTCACCTCAGTTTTCTTCCAGCTTTTGGCAGTGAAATGAAGTAAAACATCATTTGAAGGCAAGAACTATCAGTTGATTCAGTACAGCATGACCAGGTTTTGGCTTATATCCAATAGTTTGTAACTTTTTATTATTTTAATGTGAATTATCTTCCTTAAAATGTGACCAATAATAAAATCTTTCTACATATTGATATGTAACACAAATGTTTGTATATTTAAATATTTGTGATATGTTTACCTATTCATCTAACATTAAAAAGAAATAAAAAATAAAATAAGATTTGGATTCAGCATTTATCATTTTATTGCCATGGGAGGTGCTTAACAGTTTTTCATCTTAAGGAATGCAATGAAAACTTTTTTTAAAGTTACCTTAAACAGGCCTGTAAACACTAAATTTGATAGTAAGAATTTCAGAAAAATCATTTTTTTCACTAATAATTCTAATAAGTTAGACTACAGTTTTTATTTAATTGGAAAAAACTGATATTATTGGACTTTTCTAAATCATATTATTATATAGTATAGAGCCTTTTCCCTTTGATGGTTTTCCTTTTCCCTTTTCCCTTTATTTCTACTTGTCCAGTTATAAATGACCAAGAAATGTTATTTCTCTCATATGTTTTCATTACATTTTATGACATTACTAAATATGGTAACAGCATTTTTTAATATTTATTTTTTAGTTATAGGTGAACACATATTTTTATTTTATTTTTATGTGGTGCTGGGGAACAAACCCAGTGTGATTCGTGCGCGGCGATTGCCCTACCGCTGAGCCACAATCCCAGCTCCCACCCACCCCCAACCCCCAATGACTTTTAATAGGTTGGAAAATCTTAGAGGAGAAGTTGCAAATTTTCATCCAAAGATCCGAAGGAGCATGCTCTTTTAATTAATGATGCACAGTCAGGATAAGGAGTATTATTAAAATAAAAGGAAGCACTAATTTGAAAAATAGTCTGTTTATTTTGCATCTATCTCTTGGAATAATTAACAAACATTGATGGTACATTTGAAAAATAAATTTTTTCTTTTTTTCTTCTGGTACTAAGGATTGAACCCAGGGGCACTCTACCACTGAGCTACATCCCCAACCCTTTTTATATTTTAACTTTGAGACAGGGCCTTGCTAAATTTCTGAGGCTGGCCTCAAACTTTCTATTCTCCTGTCTCAGCATCCCAAATGGCTGGGATTACAGGTGTGCAGCGCTACACCCAGCTGAAGATCTTTCTAGAGTATAGATACTTACCTAGGTTCTTCACCATGTTGTCCTTAATAGATTATATACTAGAACTAGGGAGAGGATATATTTGGATCACAGTATTTATAACCCTGTAATCTGCTGGGGAAATCCTCAGTTAAATTTCTTTCAGTTCATTTGGCTTTCCTAGTGATATAACACAGTTACATTTATTTTAAATAATTATAATAATAATTTGGGGGGCTTGGGAAATGCTTTTTTAAAGGCAAAACCAGTTCTGACTAAAATATTTTTTTTTCTGACTATAAAAATATAGTGCCATCTAGTTTATTATTCATCGATTATATATTAATAAAAGTACATTTAAAAGCATATATTCACTTGTTTTAAATATAAACAACAAAAAGAAGTAAGGCAGAAAGTAAGAGTCCTGTTGTAGAGAGATCTGGAATAAAGTTGGGGATTATGTTTTCTATATCACTTGGTAATGAAGAGGGGCCTTGCATTTTTATAAGGCTTGTTTTTACTTTATTTTATTTTTAAATTTTTTATTTGTTTTCATTAGTTATACATTATAGTATCATACATTTATGCTCTTTGATATATCATACATAGATGGGATATAATTTCTCATTTTTCTCAGTGTACATGGTGCAGATTCATATTTGTCATGTAGTTACATATATAAATACATAATAATGATAAGGCTTGTTTTTAAACCAAATTATTATAGTCTGAAGAGTTGCAGATTACCTAAACAGTAACTTTCTTATGTTCTCGTGGAGACTTTATTTAAATGTAGAAGAAACTGCAAAAAGAAAATAAATGTTGATTGACCCTACTGAAATGTACTAATTATTTTAGCTGAAATTGCTTCTTTTTTTTTTTTTTTAAGAGAGAGAGAGAGAGAGAGAGAGAGAATTTTATTTATTTTTTAGTTTTTTTCGGTGGACACAGCATCTTTGTTTGTATGTGGTGCTGAGGATCGAATCCGGGCCGCACGCATGCCAGGCGAGCGTGCTACCGCTTGAGCCACATCTCCAGCCCCTGAAATTGCTTCTTAGGTTGAATTATTTGGTAATTTCTCTTTCTCGCAAAGGGCCCCTCATTTTATATTCATGAAAGCAACTAGCCATTTATTTTCAATTAAAGAGAAAATGTTCAGGCTCTAGTATTTTTGTTTTGTTTTGTTTTTAGGAAATAGGAGAGATAATTATGTCTATATTTTCCGGCACATTATTTAATCTTTTTTTTCTTTTGGCCTCAGTATATCATAGTGTCATTCTGAAGAAATAATCAAATACAGACAAAATATCTCTGCAGTAGCCATACATGATTCACTCAGAAATGAACACATAAATTGTATTTTTCATTGTGATAAGACAGCTTACTTGTTGGCTCTATTGTATTGTTGCTCTTCTTAGCTGGCAGGGAGGAAAAAAATATAAATCAAACAGATTGCTTCTGATCTGAATTTACAAGGTATTTTGAGAAATGGTTTAATCTAAATGCTCTTTTCTAACTATGTTACCACAAATTATATATATTATATATATTTTTTGAAAAGCCATGAACTTTGATTTTTCTAACACTAGCAGATTCTGCCTTAATCTGGTGATAAATGTATGTTTTTTAAAAAAATCATTAGATGCTTTCCAGCAGTTTTCTAGATAACTTACAAGTAGTAGTATGCTGTTACTTTTTCTCCGAGGTGTACATTTTTAAAATTTTTTACTTTTTTCCTATTGTTCTTGTAACTTAAAAAATATCCACAAAGCTGAGGTTCCAAATTTTTAAAAAGAGTACTTGAGGGAAACATTATTATAAAATTGAACATCACAAAGAAATTAATATGTACTTTGTTACATAATGGTAGCTGGTCGTCATATATGTGACTGCTGTAATGAAAAATGAATGCCCCACAAATCCCACAGATTTGCTTCCTGTAGACTGTGAGCACAGCACAGATGGAACTGCAGCACAGTTGGAAATGAGGGACATTAATATTCTTGCCTAACTACATAAACCGGAGAAAGGTTTCCCTTCCTATGTTTACACAAGTCTTAGTTTCAATTCATAAGAGAAACCAGTTCAGTGAAACATACCCCAGTCACTCAAATGCTTTCATTATAAATTATACCGTAGCATTTAGCTGTCAGAAGCTTTTACATTATAAACTGGAGAATAATCTTAACTATTAGGCTTAAAGATTATGTCAGGAGTTATTTCCTGTGCTCATGGATGTTACTGAAGAAACATGCATTCCTGGCCCCTGAGGACCAAGAGGTATGTCCTATGAATGAACTTTAACTACTCCTTTCCATTTTTATGGCCACTGGAAAGTGGGAGCCGTTTCAAACAAAGTGTACTCTAAATAAAACTTGATTTTCAACATTTTCATTTTCAAAAAAATTCTGAAATCACCCAATTTAAAATTTTCTAAATATGTGTAATTATAAACCATCTTAGTAATTCTTTACACAGATGGGTCTATCATGCAGATAAAAATTTTTAAGTAAGTTGAATTTTAAAAGGAGGTGCTGGGGTTGTATGTAGCTCAGCAGTAGAGTGCTTGCCTAGCACGAATGAGGCACTGGGTTCGATCCTCAGCACCACATCAAGATAAATAAAATAAAGGTATTGTGTCCATCTACAACTAAAAAATATTTTTTTTAAAAAAAAGGCCCATGCAAGATTGTAGTTTGCAGCATATCAGCCCCCTTAGTACTGTGTACTCCTGTATCATAATCATCTTGAAATGTGGGCAATAGCCAAGTAACAACAGGTATGCAATGATGGAGAAAGAGTCAAGAGAAGGAAGAAATATGAGAAACTGTATTTAGATTCTCCTTTCAGAGACAGGTCTCTTCCTTCAGTGTCAGTCAGGCTACAGGTGTGATTATACTATAGAGGCACGAGGAAGAGATTGCCCTGAAAAAGCAGATCTGTCCTCAGGACCAGATCAGAACACGAATCTAAAACTGCTAACAGTGGGCAATGCTCAGTCTGAGAGGCCCAGGGAGCTGCCACACCTAGTGATGTGCCAGCCTATATCCCTCTCCAGCCAGACACCCAATGTTTTGGTGATAGTAGCAATGGAAGTGATTTAACCCAACACAGAAAACTTATTGTCACCGTAAGCAATGATGGTTGGTCTCTCCTGTCGCAGGCCAGCCGTGGGCTGTGTGTGTGAGCTGTGAGCATTTTTGAGCACAGGAGCAGACTAGACTGAGGTTGCTGCTCTGTCTGGGCTGTGCACGTATGTGTCCTTTTCACTTGCTCTGCCTTTGGATCCCACACAGCACCTGAGATGGGTGTGGCTTCCTAGATGTCCACCTGCTGACCACAAGACATCAAGAGGCTAGACTCAACCCTCTGAAACCTGACCCCCCTCATTGGGGTGAAACTTTCTCAAGCATCTTCCCCCCAATAAAACATCCTCAGAACATCTTCCTTCTCTTTTTTGCCTTCCTTGTGGGAGCGGAGTAGAGGAGCCATCGCTGAAGAATCCCAAGAAAAAGATATTTTTTTCTGTCTCAGTGTGGTCGTTTCTGCCAACCCCAATTCACCTGGAGCGACTCTGAATGACTTGGTTGTGTGCTGTGGCACTCTCCACTTCCCCCTACCCAGCAAGCCCCATCCAGACTTGTGATCACTCAGATGCACACTTTGTGAACTTGAGCTCCCTCTCTTTCCTTCCTGAAAGGAAGCAGAGCTTCCTGTAAGAGTGGATAGTATCCTTCAGAGGCTGGAGATTGTTCCTACAGATCCAGGTTTAGTCAAACTTGAGGAAGGAATGGAGGTGGGAAGCAAAACTGACAGAAGAGGAAATTGACTCTAGAAGGATGTGGAAATCTCACTTTTTAGTAGAGAATTGAGTTAAGCACTTCTCTATGAGTAAATATCCTCAGGGCATGCAGCAGTTCACTAAGAAAGGAGGAGAGAGTATGTTTTTAATTACTCAAGGGTGGCTCTGAGCCTCTCATTTATTGAATTAAAGTCCTCTGGTTAGGGGAAGTTTCCTCCTGGAATG